AAATAAAATATGCTAAATGCTAAATTCTCGGTCTTAGGAAACAGCTAATATCACACTCATAGGTTATCTTCAATTTTCTATTGTTCATATGGAATTTTCTAGTGTTTCCCTTTTTAGATTTGATCTTTTCTGACGATATTTCAACCTGTTTGTTTCACTGCAGAGCTGCTGATCACCTGTTTGTGAATTAGATTCAATAAAGCTTTTTCAAAAGTCCAAAGCGTCCGTCGCCATGGCAACGACGAGTCGCTGAAWAGTTAGCTTTGAGCTACATTTTCGTTCGACATATCAGCGCACACATTTATTATTTGGGAAGACTTGTTGTGTCTCTGTGTGCGTTAGAACCATGGCAGGAGAGCACAGCGAGCTTGAGAAGACGTTTTCTTTTAGTCTTCTACCCACGAAGTTCCCTTTCCAAAAGGACAAAGACACTCTGGTGCTTTTTATGAAATGGTGACTTAAAAACTGTTAGTCTAAGCTCRTAAGCTGGCAGGTCTCCATAAGTATTCTCTTACAGAGTGTGTTTTTATTCAGGTCCATCCTGGGRAGGATTTCAGCTCAATCCTACAGTTTTGACAACAACTTCCACCCTTCCAGCTGTGAGAAGTTTGCTCTGGTAAAATGACTCTTTGGAGAATTTAAAGCTAAAGCTTGAAATGTGTTGAAAACAAACACCTCTGATGTCACATGTTTCTCCAGTGTTTCTTTAAGGACCCTGTGGTTGTTTCCAGTCTGAGAAACTCTGAGACCAAAATCTGGATACCTCTTGGTATGTTGTGTCCCCCAGAAAGTCCTTCATCGCTAACAGAAAATTAACCTCATATTTGTAGTTTTCAAGCTACGTGTTGTTATTTTGTGTTATATATGTGTAGTAGTGGTGGGTACAGTTCCCCTAAAGCAGTGATTCCCAACCAGGGGTATACATGAGCTTTTTAGAGGGGGTACGTGTAAAAAATAAATAAATAAAAATAGGACTGAGAGATGTAGGGGCCTATGATTTCCACAATGTGGAAAATGCAAACGGAATCACGAAATTGACACAAAATGGAATCCTGTATAAAATGCAGAATATGGTAGAATTTGCTCATTTGGGGTATTTGATGTATGCATCCTGCACCTGCCATTACCTGCTTTATTTATTTAATTACTTATTCACTTTCAAGGCAACGTATTTATCTTTATGTCTAATTTGAGTTGAAAATAATAAAATGCCTGAGAATTAAATGTTCTAGGGGGTTAAATAAATAATTTCTATTTAAAAATCAGTTGTATTACATTATAGTTTTGGAGAATCATCATTACGTTTGACTGAAGGGGTACTAGTATGGCAAAATGGCTCAGGGGTATATAAGTCTAAAAAGGTTGGTAACCACTGTCCTAAAGCACTAATAGGGGAACTAATTTCCTGATTAGTGCTTTAGGGCTTTTGCTATTTTTAAAATTCATTAGTGGATTGGCACCTGCTAAATTTAGATGCACTAACTGAGGTCTATAAATATTATTGATCAACATTATTGTTCACAGTTGAGGGTGAAAGCTGTCACACATTTTGTTCATATGTGTGTCACTTAACTACAAGGTCACCTGTCAAACTGAAGGCCCACGGGCCAAATGTGGCCTGCAGGTGACTCCCATTTGGCCCGCCAAGGACACTAAGTGACAACATTCTGCACACAGTAAATATTGTCTCATGTTGACTGAAGAATGTTCCATAGGTCAACTGGGTTATATTAGTGCTTTAGAATTAGTTTTTGCTAAAATTTTCAGTGTTAGTGCTTTAGAGTTAGGGGACCTAAATATTTGAGTTAGTGCTTTAGGGTTTGTGCAACTACTATTTAGATGAGTACTGCCCACCGCTGATAATTTGTTTTTATTTGGTGGGGAGGGGGGCTGATTGTCAGGCTAGATGAAAGTCACTTGTGGTCCAAATGTGGCCCGCGGGCCTAGTTTGACACGTGATATAGAAAATGAATACAGACACTTGAATAATGAACAAAGAATGATTTTTTCTTTTTTTATGTTTTAAAACTAACTAATAAAACAACAATTGCAAAAATAATAAAGGATACGTTTTACACTTTAATGGTTAAAGCAGAGATTGTCTTTATATTTTGTTAGTGAAGTATTTGGGACCTTCTGGCAGAACCAGAAATCATGGCCTGAACTCCTGGAGCTTTAAGTTTTCTCTTCTCACCATGGAGATGATTATTATTTAGAGCAGTGTTTCCCAAAGTTGGGGTCGGGACC